CACAGATGCAAAAATCCTCAATAAAAAGTAGCAAACAGAATGCAGCAACTCATCAAGACCTTTCATATCACGACCAAGTGGGATATATGACAGGAATGCAAGGATCATTTAATACATGCAAAACCATAAATGAAATAACACATCAACAGAGCCAAAGACAAAAATCACATGATCACCTCAATAGTTGCAGAAAAAGCTTTTGACAAAGTCCAACATTCATTCATGATAAAAACACTATAGAAAATCGGGATAGATGGTGAATCTGATGAAATCTCAATCTGATGAAAGCCATCTATGACAAACCAATAGCCAACATTATACATAAAAGACAAAAATTGAAAGCCTTCACTTTATAATCAGGAACAAGACAATAATGTCCACTGTCTCCACTTCTGTTCAATATAGTTCTGGAAACACTAGCCAGAGCAATTAGAAAAGAGAAAGAAATAAAAGGAATAATGATTGGAAGGGAAGAAGTAAAATTATCTTTATTTGCAGATGATATGATGCTATACATGGAAGACTCCATATATTCCATAACAGACTTGTAGACTTCATTACCAAATTCAGTGGCATAGCAGGATACAAAGTTAACACTCAAAAATCAGTAACATTTCTATACACAAACAATGAACACAACAAGAGAGAAATCATAGAAATCATGCCTTTCACAGTAGCAACCCCCCAAATGAAATAGCTAGGAATCAGTCTCACATAGAAACTAACATACTTATATAGTGAAAATTAGAGTACTCTGCAAAAAGAGATTGTGAAGGATTTCACAATGGAAAGATATTCCTTGCTCCTGGATAGGAAGAACCAATACTGTATAAATGGCCATACTCCCAAAATTGTTATACAGATTCAATGCATTTTCAATTAAAATACCATCAATATACGTCACAGATCTAGAGAAAAATTCCTAAAATTCATCTGGAACCAGAAGAGACTAAGAATACCAAAAGCAATCCTGAGAACAAAAGAATAGGAGGAGGCATCACAACCCCTGACTTAAAATTATACTAGAGCTACTATGATAAAATCAGCATGGTATGAGCAATAAAATAGACCTGAGGATGAATATAACAGATTCAAAGATGCAGACAGAACTACAAACACACTCTGCTACTTTATCTTTGACAAATGGGCCAAACATGTTCACTAGAAGAAGCATAGCCTCTTTAATAAATGATGCTACAAAAACTGGCTTTCTACTTGCTGAAAGCTAAAATTAGACCCATGCCTATCAGCATGCACAAACCTATAAACAAAATGGATCAAAGATTTAAAAATTAATGGGCTGGAGAGATGGCTCAGTGGTCTAAAGCACCTACTCAGAACAAGCTTAGCAAAGCACAGGGACCGCAGTTCAATCCCCCAGCACCACATGCCAGCCAGCCCCGCCCCCTGCTGGGCTGAGCTGGCCACACACACACACACACACACACACACACACAAATAAATAAATAAAATTTAAAAAAAAAAAAGATTTAAAAATTAAAACCAAAACTCTAAATTTTGTGGTGGACCAAGTACATAGAAATCTTAAAAGTAAGCTGAGGGGATAGCTCAGGGGTCTAAGAACCTGCTGGTAAGGGCACAGATCCAGGTTAGATTCCAGTGCTGCATGCCATGTTGGACCTGTAACCTTAGGCATTCCATGCTGGCCACCAAAACCAGGTATGGTGGTGCATGCCTATACTCCCAGCGCTGGGCAGGCTGAGCCGAGAAGCCCACTATGAGTCTGAGCTGCGTAGTGAGATGCTACACCAAATAAAGAAATAGAAGATGTTTTTAAAAATCTTAAAAACACAGGGGTCTAGGGGCCGGAGAGATGGCTCAGTAGGATAAGCACTTGACTGGCAAACTCAAAGATCTGAGTTCAATCCCCGGTTCTGAAAAAAAAAAAAAAAAACCACAAAAAACAGGGGTCTATAAAGAGTTTATGAACAAAAAGCAAACTGCATGGGAAATACTTCAAAGAATCCACAACTGGTATCTTATCTTTTGGAAAAGTTTCTGCATGTCAAAAGAAATCACTAATAGTATAAAAAGAAAACCCACAAATTAGAAAAAAATTATAACTGACTCTCCTTCAGACAAAGGACTTTTCCCTAGAACATATAAAGATTTAAAATATCAGGCCTCTAAAAATTCAAAACCCCAATCCAACAATGGGCATCTTGGGGCAATACAAACTTCAAAAATGAAATAGAAATGGCAAATAAATACAAGAAAAAATGTGCACCATTATTGGTCATTGAGGAGATGCACATTAAAACAATGCAGAGATGCCATCTTCCACCAAAAAGAATGGCTATCATCAAGAAAACAACCAATAACAAATGCTGGAGATGCTGTGGGGGAAAAGGAACCCTTCTCCACTGTTGGTGGGACTGCATATTGGTACAACCTCTACGGAAATCAGTATGGAGATTCCTCAGAAAGCTAGGATTATAGTGCCCTTTCAAGCCAGCTATTCCCCTCCTAGGTACTTTTCAAAAAAAAAAAAAAATTGAAAACATCATACTACAGCAATGTATGTGTACCCATGTTTACAGCAGTGCTATTTGTCAGAGCTAAATCTTGGAACCCACACAAATGCCCATCAACTGAGGAATGCACTAAAAAGATGTATTTTTACACAATGGAATATTACTCAAAATAAATTTGAGGCTTATAGGTAAATGGATGTTAACTAGAGACTGTGTTCTTAAGTGAATAAATCTGCCCACATGTGTAAACATCATTTTGTCTCACTAGTGTGAGAACCTAAAAGAGTAAATGAAATCTGAAAGGTACAACAGATATTGTGAACGGGAAAGAATCTGTTCAATGGGAAGGAAAAACTGGGATGAGGAAAAGGACAAAAGAAAGAAGGGAGAAAGATATGTTCTTGTATACATGCAGGATAGTTTGGATAATTGTACTGCCAATTTCTGGTCTATTGAAAGAAGCAGTTAATGCTTAAATTTTTTTTCTTCCCTTTAATTTCTTGCAACTGTTTTTTTTTTTTCTTAAACCAATTTTTCAGGCTTATATGTAACCTAAACAACTAATTTGAAGATAACATTGTGTAATACAACCATTGTCAAACTTCTATTACCTTGCTTAATGAAAATTTGTATTGTTTCTAATATTTTTATCATTTCATATTCATTATTTTTATTAATTTATTGAGAAACAATAAGACAGTTTCAAAACCGATTAATAGGACAGTTTCAATAATTAATGCATTGCAATTGTTATCTTCTTAGTGATTACTCATAGTACAAGATGCAGACATGTTTACAGCAGTGCTATTTGTCAGAGCTAAATCTTGGAAATACTAAATCCTGTCCAAATACTACTAGTACAAATCTTTCTTCTCATTGAATTAAGAGAAAGTAGGTGTATATCTATGCTATTTTGTATATACAGATACAAAATGGTCCTTCCTTTGTATCCCTTTTGTTTATAGTTTTGTTAGAGATGTGTATTCCATTGCCATTTAAATATTGTGGGTACAGGAATTCAGCAAAATAATTCAATATAGTCCAGTAGTCATAATAGTAGTGGGTTATCCGTAGGACTGGCAATGTCAGAAGTTGTTGACTCGAGCCTTTTACAGCTCAGCATATTAATACAGCTTTACTTTTTATACCTCATTTTTACACTTTTCTGCTGGATTGCTAAGAACAAGAAAAAACAAGACTTATATAACAAGAAATGTATCTTTTCTATCTGATAAGGTCAGTCAAATCCCCTCAGGATTTATCCTGAGACCCTGTACCTCGGATTGTAGATCCTTTGTCAGTGTTAGCTATGTGGCTGAATCATCGTCATTGCTTGGCCAATGTGCTCTCCGTGAAAGCCTGAGAGAATGTTTTCTCTCCAGGTGACTCTCCATAGGCACACTCTACATCATCAGTCACATTGTTCTGTGGCCCCATAATCTCCTTGATCAGAAAATTTGGGACTCAACTGAGTGACACGATGTTATAGTCTAAGTTCTCCTATATCCTGAGTCTTAAGTGACCTTGGAAGGCTAGGGCCAAAATGTTGGCTGTCCTTGCAGCCCTTCTATTTCTCTAATTTTTGGTCTGCAAACGCAGGTTGTTAACCCTCCAGAAGAGAAGCTTATTATTACCCTACAACATATGCAGTTGTGTTTAACCTCACTATCTGTCTGAATATCAAACACTTTAGGCATAACATGGAACAGGTATTTTTCATCTAGTTTTGATATGTTAAACTTTAAGTCTCTACAGAATATGGAGAAAAAAGTTAAAAAATATTTTAAAAATAAGAATAAACAATTATATATTTTTACACAGCAATTTGGAAATCTAACCATATACAGTATTGTAGCAGGACAGTCCCATGACATTTTTTTTTCTTGTCTCTATTTTTCATTTATTACCCTTTTTTTTTTAAACATTTACTTGAGAGACAGTATGGTAGTAATTGGTATGTCATGACAAGCAGTACGTATTTAGAAGACCAGAATGACAGACATTCCAAGCGTGACCCTATTATATATTGCTTTCTTCAGTGCAGTTGCTTAGTTCACAGGTATCAGCATATATAGTTAGTCAGGGTGAGAATCCTACCAACTGCTAGTTTTGAAAACCTGCTGATGTTTCTCAGGACCATTGCTTTACCCATCTTGTGCGTATAAATGTATGGTTTTGCCCGTCATTTTTCCCAGCTTTTCTCCTTGCCCCCTCCTCATTGTCCAATCGTCAAGTTATTGCTTTCTTTTTAATTGTGTTACAACTTTCTATTTGTATTTTTTTCTTTTGAGTTCTTATACTATGGAGAATATATGATATTCTTTAAAAATGGAAAAATAGTTCTTTGAATCAAAATTGATACCTTTATTTTAGGGAAATAGTCATTTTAACTGAAGCTATTTAAGCTTTGACTTCTAACATATTTTGATGAATGTTAAATAAAACTTTAGTAAATACAAATACAACTGCCCTATTTTGTCTTGAATTCAAGTAAGTATGCTCTACCTTCATGAAATGTTTCAGGTTCCAGAGTCTCAAGTCTATCATCGACATGAGATGCAGTAAGGAAATCTTCCTCCTCCAGCCGTAGTTCTCCTGCCGGCCCCTCTTCTTCCTGTTGTAAGTTTTGTCCTTTAACAAGAATAAGCACAAAGTGACATGGTTGTACAGTCAGGGACCAGTAGCAACCGTCCACTCAGATGCACAGCCCCTTCTGAAGGACAGCCAGCCTAACTCTCTCTCAGGGCCACTGTAGAGGTGGAGGGGTCCACCCCAAACTAGCCAGATGTTAGTCACCCAAGATGTAAACATGAATTCACCTCTTCCCAACAGATTGTTGGTGTGCATTTCAAAGTTTCATTACTATATATGCCTAGCACCTAGGGCCATTCTAAAATAGAAGTTATGCAATAAATACTTAATTTAGGGCTGGGGAGATAGCTCCTCAGTCTAAGCACCTGCCTGGCAAGTGCAAGGGCCAGGGTTTGATCCCCAGTACCATGATGGCCACCAAAACTGGTGCATGCCTGTAGTCCCAGAAATAGGGAGGCTGAGTCAGGAGGATCATTACAAGTCCAAGGTGTGTAGAGGGACCCTGTACCAATAAAGATTTTAAAAAATTAAAAACAAATAGTTCAATTAATAATTCACAATTATCCATATACATCCCTCTTCATTTATCACTGGATCTGATAAAAGGTCAATCAAGGTCTTTTATTGAAAACTGTAACAACTTTACATGACTACTCCAGTGTTCCAGTGCAAAGAACAGGTGGCTACCTATTTACATCAGATGTGAGGCCACAGATTCATATTACTCTGTGCCTCTGAACTAACCTAGGCATAATCTTTTTTTTTTTTTTTTTTTTCAGAACCAGGGATTGAACTCAGGCCCTTGCACTGATCAGGGAAGTGCTTATTCCACTGAGCCATCTCCCTGGCCCCAGCATAATCTTTAAATGTGGAAAGATGCCCATCTCATTTTCTGTGATTAACTTCTATGGTATATTGAGTAGTTCTGCTTTTGTGTGGACACAATACACTATTCCCCTTACATATGATTTAGATTGTTATAGTGCCTGAACATGATCCTCACAGTAATGCAGTACAGCTTCCAGTGGACAGCCTCCTATAAGTCTCACTCCAACTAAAAAGCCCAAGTGAGCTGCACGAGGCTGGGCAACGCAGCATGGAGGGAAGGGACGCAAGGTCTGGGGGCTGGCTCTGGACCAAGGCCCTTGCACAGCAGCTGTGCGACCAGGGCGTATGCGCCACTCTGCGCTTGCCAGCTCTCTTCCAGACAATGGCAACAGTAATCACCACTCCTGACAGGGCTGTAAAGTTAACACATTTGGAAAAATGCCTGCCCCCATTAAATATTCAAGTGCTTTTGTTCTCCTCACTACAATGATAGCTGCATTACTATTTCTGTCTCTACTTGGCTTCCCAGCAAAACTGTAGGAGTACTTACTCTGCCTTTACTGTGGCATACACAGACTCTCAAGTGTACTGAATCATGCAGGCCTATCTATGAAGACATTTATAGTAGGTTCCCCTTTATCTGTGGTTTTGCTTTCTGAAGTTTTAGTTACTGATAGCCAATCACAGCAGGAAAATAGCATGCAAAAAATTCTAGAAATAGACAACTCATACATTTTCTACTGAGCAAGTGTTCAGAGTAATATGGAGTCATTCTGCCCTCATCTCACTGGGTCATGAATTGCCATTTTGATATCATATCCATGTTATATTAGGAAATCAGTTCTTGAGTCACTTAGCATTTGTCTTGGTTACCAGATTGGACATCATGGCATTCATCTATCTACTTGTGTTCAAGAAAGCATTATTTTACTCAATAATGGCCCAGTGCACAGGGGAATGATGCTCACAATTCAGACATGCCACCAATGACAAGCTGTAACGTGCTTTCTTTAGTTAAAAAAAGGTACAAGTGCATTAATTTAAGCAAAAAATCCATATGTTATGGTGGCTAAGATCTACAGTAAGAACGAATCTTCATCAAAGAGAGTCGGAAAAAGAAATGTTGCTAGTTTTCTGTTGTACCTCAAACTGCAAGATAGAGAAGTCAAGGGAAACGCCTGGGTTTTGCTTATATAACGCATGGGTGAAAAAGCCACTTAGTAAACACGAAGGCCAGAGTAAGAGCAATCTGGGTTAGGGAAGAGTCATTTGTGGGACACTTGTGAGACAGGGAGGAGAAGAGTTCCCCATTGTGCAGCTGAGACACCCGCACACAGCTGGGTACCGACGGGGTTGCGAGGAGTCATCGGGCTGCAGCCAGTCATCAGTCACAGCAGTGACTCACACCGAGCGTCACAGCCAGACGGGACTGTCCAAGAGAAAAAATATAAAAAAGAGCACGCAGTTCACGAAGAGTTTTTCTTCTTCTGTCTGGCCACACCCCCACCCACTTAAGCCTGCTGTCTATTCCCCATCTCCACATGAGTCTGATGAGCCAGCTGGACTCACTAGGGTTACCATCTGGACCCTACTGCACAATGGCCCCTCTTGTCCATTTTTTTTAGGTTTTGGGAAGGCTATATAATCCAAAACACTCCTGGAATCAAGTATAAATATTAAAATATTATTTTCCTTTATCATCTTCTGCTTATGCATCATATATGCTGGTAATTCTAAATGGCTTTGATACTTTTAATTTTGGTACTATTAGGAATCACAGTCAGGGCCTTCACACTCAGATACATCCCCAGAACTTTTATTTATGTATTTATTTTTAATTTTGAGACAGCATCTCATTAAATTGTCCAAGCAGAACTTTGCAATTCCCCTCTCTTGATGCTGGCATTACTGATGTGTGTCACCATGCCTGGCTTCACACTCTTGCCTCTGGGCTTTTACACGGTGTGCCCTCTACAGAGTCCATAAGCCAGCAGTTCTCCATCTTCTTTCAGCTTCTAAATGAAGTTTCTAAATGTCATTTCCTCCAAGATGCCTTTTCAGAGCCTGAGATTTGGGTAAGCCTTACCCAAAAAAGTATCACTGTTTTATCACATACTTCTTACTACCCTTAAGTTATATATATAGTCTACAGGGTCTACAGGGTCTCACTACACAGATTGGACTCTAGTGATCCTCCTGTTTTCAGCCTCCCAAGCACTGGGATTATAGGTACCACGTCCAGTCTCAGTCATTGTCTCAGCGTGCCCTGGGCTGGGGTGGGCATGGCATGTCCAGGATCCAAACCCCAGCCACCATTGCATCTGGGGTTAATCCGCTGAGCCATCCACTGAGCTATCTAGCTGGCCCAACATTGAAGTTATTTAGACTCAACCTTCCTTGTGTTAAAGATTTAAAGAAAAAAAAAAAAAAAAAACTATGGCAAGGGGAAGCCTGCACTTTCTCACATGGACAAATGTACACTTAGGCGAAGTGGCCTTCCACATGCAAAGAAGCTGGTACACCCACATCAGCTACCAACAACAGCCAGCTATACTGCCAGGAAATCATTTTAAACACAACTTATTTTTCTCCATTATAGCTATCCTTTGATCATACCAAACCATCAGGAATATCAGGATATGACAGCAGCACGTGCTTTTTTTTTTAAACTATGTGCCTTTAAAATCACGTTCTGAGTTAATTTTAGAATACCTCTGCTTTTATCAAAGGATGCTTTAAGAGATTTAGATATTTCTAAAATACAAGTTTCTGGGGAATATCATTTAATAAACTTTCTACTGAATTCAACAAGAGATTTTTTTAGATTTAAGTGAGTGTTGTGGGAATATTTTTTATGTTCTCTAAGGAGACAGTGTGTGTTTGCTTGCTCTGGGAATACAACCAATATAACTAAATTCCTCCTTTTTTACTTTGGCAGCCAGTCAATTATGAAGCAAACTCCAAGGCTTGACAGTAGCTACTGGATAAACTATCATAACTTGTTTGTACTGCATCTTCCTCTGCTGTTTTCCCATTTATTATTGGTGAGTCACTGCTTCTGATCTGCATATATTCACGTAGTCTTATTTTCTTTCTGAGACAGGAACTTGCTACATATCTCAAGTTGGACTTGAACTTGTGATCCTTGAGCCTCAGCCTCTCCAGCGCAGGTACAGAAACCATATACCATCATGAATGGCTTCTCACCATTTTATAATAGGTACATTCACTCCATGGTGAGATTGGGTAAAATAAAAGTACATCTTGTGCTGCCTCAAAAGTAATATTCTTTAGTAACTATTTTTTCAAACCCTAAATATCCAGCTAACATTTAAAATGTAAAACAATGCTAAGTAACTTGAAGTACACATTATTTTAATAACTTGTGACAATAGATTTTAATTCATACCATGTTCTGTGTGTATCATTTCATGAAGGATGGACTGAATTTGTTCCTTTACTTCATCTTCAATATTCTGGGGTTCTAAAATAATTATAAAACATTACTAAATAGAAAATATTTAAACATGATATAGTATTTGTATATATACACTGAAATGCGCATACTGGGCTAGGCAACGGTGCATCTTTGTCTTATCAGTTTACCAGTTTTTTCCTATGTTGATAAACACACTTGACATTCATAACTGGTTTTATTTGGTTAGTAAATACAAATGTTAACACTTCCATTAAGATTTTTAAAGATAAAATAATTTGGGTAGACTTTTGTCTTTAAAAAACTAAGAGCAAAATGGCTTCAATTTCTAATTACTACATTTATACTAACAATAGAAGAGAGAACAAAGCTTTCATAAAGGGAAGTATTTAGAAATAGACAAAAATAAGAAATATAAAATCAATAAGGATTAGAGAATATGGTAGCCTCTGTTCCCTGACAAGAAAAAGGGCCCCTAGGCAGCGTGAGGAGCCAGAGAGATGAGTGTTGGTGGATCACTCCAAAAGTCTTCAAGTGAATAGATAACTTGTGTTATAACAATGGTCCTTTCAGCTTTGGAGAACTACATCCCACACTCAGATCCATAGATTCAAATAAATGTGAGCAACAGAAACAAACGTGCTGGATGACATGTTTAAGTCACAATACTTCTTGCTAGAACGTCAGGGTTTTATACATGGTTATATTTCACAAATCACTTTTGCATATATTCTGATACAGTCACTGAAATGCCTGGCCTCCACACTTCCCTGCCACGGCCCACAACGTCTGGTGGCTTGTAAGCCTCCAGTCTCACCACTGCCAAGAGCACCGCACAGACTGAACTGCTAGGAGTAGGGGTGGTGCTCTCTGCTTCTTTGTTTAACCCAGTAACGGCTCCCTTTGCCAAAATGAGTATGTGCACTTCATGGAAAGTAACAATGTTCTGCTACCAGAAGAGCCAGCTTTGTCTGAATCTGCTGAGTGTGCCATGGCATTTCACGTTTCCACGGCTTTGTCAATTTTATTCCTCTCACTTAGAAGAGAGGATCTGTAGAGACAGAAACCCGGTTGAATTGAGATAAAGAATGAGGATAAATAAGGGGAAAGGTGATTATGCAGTCTTCTCTCACCAGCGTGGCAACTGGAGCGATGAAAGGCCTTAGATGGCAGAGCGTGGTCAAGAAGGGACGAAGCACTTTATTTCATTATACTTTTATGAGTTGCATAAATGTTTACAGAATAAATAGAGTAAGTGAAGAAAGAAAAATTAAGAACAGAATGACAAAAGGTTTTAGATGCAACACTGAGACTAAAACAAATATTGCAAAGGTGAAAAGGATATGGGCTAATAATACGCTAATAGGTTTTAAGACAAGATTATCAATAATTTGCAACAGTGATAACAAAAACTGAAAGTAGAAAACAAAATTATTTCACTGGCTTTCAAAACAAGATCTTTTAAATTATAAAACCAGGGGCCGAGGAGATGGCTCAGTGGAATAAGCGCTTCCCTGGCAAGTGCAACGGCCTGAATTCAATCCGTGGTTCCGCAAAAATAAATAAATAAATAAATAAAACCACTTAGTACAAAGTAAAATGTTAGCTATTCAATCCAATTACACATTTAGTTGTAAAATTTAATTTTAAAAAATCAGTCATTGTCCCAGAGCGATGGTATAACCATGACAATTTCACAGGAGAAAAAAATTCTCCAAGGATAATTATTAATAAACCCTGGGGCAACATATTAATCTTAAAAGGAAATACAAAAAGGAAAAATCTAATAGCATTCATCAGCATCCTTCGGACCCAGAACTTAAATTACCAGTAAAGATGTAATGTCATACTTACCTCTTCCAAAAGGTGGCACAATGAGACCAAATTTTGGAGAATAAATGAAAAACTACACAGCTTATGTATTAAAATAACATGAGTTTTTAAAAAGATAGTAAAGTATTAAAGTCTAATTTACTTATTTATTAAAGTATCTTAAAACTTTCTCATCTATGAGGTCACCCTAGGATGACTAGACATAATGGGGACTGATCTATGAGTCCATCTAAATACGAAACAGGTTTCATGATGCAGCACGAGGAGATGTGGAAAGTCTTTTGGCCCCAGTAAGAGACTCTCCCATAAAAGAAGACTGGGGATCCACTACTGTAATAAATTCTGTGGCAAGTGATGCCAACATCAGTGTATAGTGCGTATATATTTTTATTTTCCAATAGAATGAGACAACCACACTGGGATGGGAATAAAGCATGGAGCCTGCTGTTCCTGATTATATGTGAGTCTCTGCAGGAACCACTCTCCTATGTGAACTGTTACCAGGAGATATGCAGGTTTGTTTTAAAATTTAAAAAAACATTATTCATTCCTGTTAACAATATGCAAAATGCTGCATGTACAACAAGACTCTGTACAGTGCACATAAGACACCTGTCTGGTATGACCTGCTGACCTGTGGACAACTCACCTGTCCCCGTGGGAGCCTGGTCCTCGGGCTCAATGTGTGGCTCAGCGTCCTCTGCTGGGAACTTTGGCTCTGAAGCAGTTCTTTCTTTAAGGCCTGCATTTTTTATTCACAAAGTTAACTTAAGCTTTTTAGTTTTCTGGACACATTAAGCCAGGAAATGTAACATTCTCCAATACTTAGTGCTCATAATTCAGTTTCTAAATTTATGCGCTTAAGGAATGAAGTAGGAAATAATTGGCTCTATAATTCTATATAGGTTTTTAATATTTCTACTTCTATTCTGAATTTTAGTAAAAAAAAAAAAAAGAAAGTCACTTGTGAGTTTTTAAAAGTCATGTCTAAACTTGCCAAAAGTTGAGTATGAGTTCGAATTTCTTGTGTTCATGTGACTAATTACTTAAGTCTCCAAATCCAAATTCAGAGACAACACTGAGGCATTTGAACTTTCGATTATTTGTGTGCACTCTATTATGATTTTCATAATTACTTATTTTTTATAATTATCTTTCTTGAAAAACTGAAGTTACACAGAAATCACTCATGTCTACTTAGAACTGTCTCAGTTACACCTACAAGTAATGTAAATACATTATTCTACACATGCTAAAAAACAGGAAGAGAAAAAATCCTTTTTAAAAAAAGAAATCCTAAGGAAAAGACGATCACGTGATTGCACGTCCTCTGCCTGCCTGGGTCCAACACTAAGTCCACACAATCACTAGTATACTAACAAGCCAAAGAGTACCATAAACACCAACATACACAGCTGACTTCTGTATGGGAGTAAATCTCACTAAAAAGTAGATCACAAAAGGATTACACACAAGTATCCACAGGTTCTAACTGTGGCTCACCTTTTGGGAGGGTAGGGATGAAGCCCTCTTAAAATTCACCACCATTAAATTTAAATACAGGAGTGAAATGCTCTGCCCTTAGCAATGTACATAATCCCTTTTATATCACAACAGGGGGTAGGATAGGTTTCCAACTATTCACTGACAAATTTTGCTGAGTGGAAGAAAAGGTTGAAAGTGCTTAGAAACAGGTTTTATCTTTGCACTCAGAGCCTGTCAGCTAACACCTGCAATGTAAGAGGTGCCCCTAAGCACCTGCAGAGGACCGGAAGGAACCCAGGTGCGCCCATTCCCACCTCCGGCTGCAGAGCCCCTGTGGGCCCGGGATCCTTTGCTGCCCCAGACTGGCTGAGAGTTTGGAAGTGGGACAGCAATTCCCTCCAGTTCTCCACTACCACCTTCTACAGATGCTCATCTCTGTGCCAGCCTCCCTCCACTCAGTACCAAAGGCCACTCACTTTGCACAGTGCCGGCTCATGTCTGTTGTCCTGGAATCATTATGTCACTCTCAAGAATTTTTCAGTCTAAATAAAAACTTAATACTATCATCTCTCCCTAACCACACAGGCAGCATGCTTTTAAAATGCTCACCATGAGTAAAATAAACACTATTTTCCCATCAAGCAGTCAGGATTAAACTGCTTGAAAATGCCTTCCTTAGGTTTCATTTGGAAAAAGAATTATAATACTGAAGCATTTGAGGATATTTGTATATTCCTATTCAAACAAACCATGCGTTTAAGAGCCAGCTCTCCTTAAGTCAACTGGAAGCTATTTTGTCTTCAAAACCAAAATGCTACAACATACAAAAAATATAACAGAAGAAAGTAAAGCACATAAAAAAAAAAAGTAAAGCACATAACAGCAGAAAGTATCACGCAGTTTTCTATGAGAACCAAGTTAGTAGTTAAACTTTAAACTTATTAATACCTGGTCACAGTTCCTTCCAGAGATAAAATCAGCAAAATAATATTAAGTATTGTAAGTGCCCTATAAGATGATTGTGTGTTTTCTCTAGAACCCTGTAAACTTGTAAAACAAAATGAAACATATTCTAGATTGGAATTCCTTTAATAACTGCATGGAACAAATTAGCTCTACAAGTTTTTATGCTGTTTCCACAACTTTCTGCCACCGAAATTCCTTTAGGTTTTTAAGACTTGAAGCAAAAAAGCAAACAATTAAATGGAAAACATAAATAATACCTCTTGTTCTGCTTCATTCTTAGATTTGGGGAAATCTTGCTGTGACATTCCCAGTAGTCTTTCAGTTTTAATAGAACCATGACTATCTCCACTATAGATCAACTCCAATTTGTAATCAAACAAAAGGTTTTCAAACTGGGTTTATTTAGAAGTACAAAAGACAGGTACATAGTACTGGAATATTCAAAATTATATCATGAAAGAGGTGTCCATTTTCATGTCGCTGGAACTATAAGTACAACAGAAGACCAACTTGCAATGCCAAGGTTTAGCCAAGTCACGCAGAGAGCAGAGGCAGGCTGGCTGGTCCTAAGTGCCGGCTCCATCCTCAGGCCAACAGTCAGGTTCCTTCAGACAAGACGCTGCCATATAGAAGAGGACACCTCTCCCTCTGCTCGTTGGGTTGCAGGAAATCTTTCTGAGACATTCCCAGTGGTCCTTCAGTTTCAATTCAATCATGACTGTTTCTATTACTAAGCCAGCACAAGGTAGAGAATGATCACAGATGGCTTATGATCTTTTACTGGGGATGAATGCTGTGAGGCCACTAGAATCCCCTTAACATGAAAATGAATCAATCCCCTTCAAACATGCTATGCTTTTATTTTTATAGACACATTAGAAACATTTTAAATGTTACATTTAATAACCACAAAACTGTCACCCCAATTTTAATTATAATGGAAGCTATAAAAGTTAATGAAGTCAGCACTTTAAACTCACTATTCATAGCCATCTCGATCATCCAACACAGCTAAACTGGTCTAGTATTGTCCAACATAGCTGAGCAGAATAGGAACAGGATGTTTTTCTTCCTATAATATGTGATAGTCATAAACCTACTCAACTGCACATTGCATTGTATAATTACCAACTATTCATGAAGGGAAGTGCTTTACCTTAATAAACATACAAAACACCTACCATGTGGACAGGAGGGCAAGCAAAAACATTTAGGTTCTGAGAGATGAGGACTGATGGCCTGAGGAAGATGTGGGTGGCCAGGGCCAGGCACAGGAGAGGGAGCAGGGCTGTGTACAGCATGATGAGTGAGGAAGGACTCGCCACCCGTCAGTGGGCTGCTGAGGGAAGTCAGGGATAATGCAAGAGTTACACTAGAAATGATCAGGTAGAGGGGACAAATAAGGACAACTCTGCAGCTGGGTACCAGCGTGGCTGGAGAGGTTATCAGGAGAGAAAGGCCCTGGGGCACTGGGATACTCGGAATGAACATAAAAATGTACTGACATAAATTTTTTTCTAAAGATTTTTCAACCCATGATTGGTTATATGTGTGCATGAGGAACCTGAGGATGTGGAAACTGCAGAAACAGAGTTGACTGTCCATGGGAACTCCTTCCTCCATAAAATCTAGAAGGGAATTATAAATCGGATTTTGTTTCACAAGACTTCATACACTGACTTTTTTAAAAAACCAGTTAATCATCAGTTTACTGAAGTACATACTGATGGATGAAAAGTTGTCTTTTAGGTAGATGCGGGCACCAGGTTCGATCTCTGGCATGCCCTGCCGGCCCCGCTGGCGGGGAGCACTGAGATGGTGATTGAGACTGGGCATGGTGGTGCACGCCTGTAATCCCAGCTCTTGGGAGACTGAAAACAGGAAGATCACTACAAGTCCAATCTGTGTAGTGAGAACCCATAGACCCTGTACTACACACAAAACATTTAAAGAAGAAAATTTGTCTTACCTCACTCAGATTATTCCAGCTAATGTAGTAGGTGCAGAGCAAGTGTCCAGAACAAAACCTGCCTCCCAGGCAAGTGACCTAATAGCATATGAATCAATATGGACCTCAAAATGGTAACAAGTATGAGTAACCTGAGAAATATCTTAGTGTATGTGCTGCTGAATGAGCACATGGCCTGAAAAATATAGAGAATTCACTGTACCAGAAAGACACGCACTAACTGTCCATGCTAAGCTTTTTGTTCCCACCTTATAAAATCAAAGGGTGTACATTTCACTATCCTAACAGGAACCTCAAACTAAAAAAGATTCTAAGACTACCTGGAACTTTTACAAATTTCTTCATTATATAAAATAAGAAGCATCTTATTCAAAATATGTCTACGTGACCAAGGAATGGATAAAAAAGATGTGGTATTTTTACACAATGGAGTATTATTCAACTATAAAAAAGAAGATAAATTTGACGCTTTTGTAGATAAATTGATGCAGCTAGAAACTATACTGGTAAGTGAAACAAATCAGATCCACATATAGAAATATCATATTGTCTTACTAGTGTGAGAATCTGAAATACTAATTAAAATTTAAAAAATATTGGGACTGGCAAGATAGCTCAGCAGACAAAGCACCTGCTTTGGCCAGTGCAGGGACCACGGTTCGATACCTGGTTCCAAAGGCTCGCTGGTCTGGCCCACCCAGGACATGCTGAATCCAGACACAGAACGTGTGTGGTCGCACAAGCCTGTAATCCTAGGGTCAGGGGGACTGAAAAAAGGAGGATCACCACTAGCCCAATCTGCATAGTGAAATCCGGTAGGGTCAGGGAGGCTGAAAAAAGGAGGATCACCACTAGCCCAATCTGCATAGTGAAATCCGGTATCAAATACACAAATTGAAAATAAAAAAAAATTTAAAAATACTGTAAAAGAGAAAGAATTTGTTCAATGGGAATGAAAACCTGAGATGAGGAAAAGGACAGATGAAAGGGAAAAAGACATATTTAGGTATACATGCAGAATAGTTTGGATGACTGTACTGTTGATTTCTGTTGGTCTCTTGAAAGGAGCAGTAAATGTTTAAATTTTTTCTTTTTTTTTTTTTTAATTTCTTAAAACTTTTTTGTTATTGTTTTGTTTTTTCTTTAAACAAATTTTGCATGTTTATATCTGGTAGTCTGAGCAACTAATTTGAAGATAGCATACACAGCAAGTTAAACTCCTGTTACTTTGTTTAGTGAAATTTTGTATTTTGTATTGTTTCTAAAGCTGTTTTTTTCCTACCACTATTTTGTATTCTTTAAAAAATAAAAAATATTAAGGG